CTTGGTTCAGAGCATTGGATAAGAGCTTCAGCATGTGATTAATTATCATCTTTACCACAGTTGTGGTCAGTGACATGGATACGGCATGTGTGTACATCGTATATATTTGTGTGTGTGTGATACCTCGGCTGTATATGCAATTAGAACAGATAATCCAACTCCCATAGTCCCAATTCGCAAGAATATCATCAGTATAATCTGGAAATTCTATACCAACTTGTCATACATCATGAATCCTGTTTTGCATACTATATACAACAGTACATCTCACACCATTAGGGCAACAATTTAATCTTTTTATGCTGTCGCAACCAACAACACCATTTGACATAAAGAAACATAATTATTGAAGCTCAAAAAGTATTTAAAAAAAAGTGATACTAACCTCCAGAACTTGCATCATGTGATCATTGAAGCTTCGCAAGTTGTCCTTTTGAGCTTCTTGGATGGATGAAACCATTGCCATTTCATGAATCTATTAAAAACAAACACTTGATTAACTCCATAAATTATTTATCAGAAAGAAAATCATGAGAAGAATTAATGAATAAATAAATTCTTAAATAAATGTGAAAACCAGTGCATTCAAGTGAAAAAGAAGCAGAGTAGGAAGTACAGCAATAGCCACAAAGCATTAAGGTGCAGAGAAACAGAGGTGAGAGAGAAGAGAGTACAACAGGAAGAGAAACATTACACAGAAGAAGGCTCACCCAACTGGTAAAAATCTCTATCCATCAATGAAAATCAGATGCAGAACTACCTTTATTCTTTAAAATAGACTTTGCTTATTTTGATAGATAAAGGCACTCCTGAAAATTGTTTAAAGAAGCAACAACAGCACTGATCTGCTATGTTACCACAACAAGAGACACTAAGCATATGATTGTCCAAGAAGAGCTCTTTACGCAAAGACTGGGTGAAGAGACTCATATTCCAAGGAAGAAGTAGCCCCAATTTTAATAAAGTTGTTTCCGACAAAATCATTTAGCTGCCGGATATGAATATGATGCACATTTTGCAATACATAATATATCCAGGCCAAACTGAAGGTAAAAATGAATTATCATGCCCTTATAGAACAAGATTAGAACTATGATTTTTTATATGAAGAAATTTCTTATGCATAGTAAGAAATTAAGACCCAAACTGCATCTTCAAGCTACCAAAGTAGCACAAGCAGAAGAAAACAGAAGCCAGCATTACTTGCTCCCCATTAGAATCAGCATTCAGAAATCTAAATATGGTTTAATATCGATTCCATCTTTTAAAAGCAACCATAACTCTACAATAAACGTCAAAAGACGTTACAGCGTTCTCCATGCTTCATTCGTACATGCATTTTTATTTTCTAATTAACATTAGAAAAGATATGCCCATCTTTTTGTCAGCAATAGTTGCTAATATTTATAATTGCATATCTTAAGTATACTTTAGTTCTTAGTTTGCATAGTTTCATTCAAAAAATATAGTGATATCAATTAATTATCAATTTTTATAACCTTAATATGCATATTAAAAATGAATTCACTAGATTAGTATGCACATTTATTCTTCCATGAAAAAGGTAAGGTTGTCAAGTCGAATGAAATCCATGAAAAGGCATAACATTTTAGCAGATAAAAAGAAAAGTTAATGTCATAGCAGATAAAAAGAAAAGATAAAATTACAGCAGATAAAAAGAAAAGTTACAAGGACCAGATGAAGTTTAAACAAAAGAAGACGATACCTGCTGCAAATACTCCTCCACAGTTGTTGCTTCGGAAGGAAAAACATCCTCAAAAGTTGTCTATAGGAATAAAAAAGAGAAGTAAAAGAATGTAACAAAAGGTTTCATCACATAAAGCTGCCTAAATTATATGTCAAATTATTTAACATCAGTTATACAAGGAACAATGCCACACCACATATGAAACTCATGAGAAGCAATCACAACAATGAAAGAATAGATAGAGTTAGTATGTTAAGGTGGAGCTAGCTTAGGTGATGATCCACTTGTAAGTACCCATATTAACTAACACACTGAATTAAAATAATTTTTGGTGGCACAGATATAGTCATCTATTGGTGATAGAAATTCGTCAATCAATGGCACCTGATCAGCATGTTGCTTTTTTGCTTTTTCATCAAGCATAATGCCTCTTGAATACTAACTCTTGGATGCCATAAGTACAATATGCAACACTTGCTTTTCGGCCCAATTGATCATCAGAATGAAGGTTATTGTCATCTAGATGACTTCACAAGGAAAATATGATTCATGTGGCAATGCAACAACGGGACTTGCATGCAAACATTCATACAGCCCCCAAGGTTATATTTAGTATACGTCTTTAAAACAAAAAGGTAACGAGCAAGATGTGCCTCCAATTGATCATTTCCTTGTCAACTGCTCAAAAGAAAGAATGGAAATCAAACGACAAGTGCAAATGGCAACCTTGAGTACCCACCTTCAATTCAAAGGACTTCAGGTCTCGCGCGAGCCGTTCTGCATTTATCCCTTCCCGAGCGAGCAGCCTGCTCAATACAGAATGTATCGCAGACAATCACACAAAACAAGCACATAAACCTCCAAGAGACAATATTCATGCAGCCTGGACGCGAAAAAATCGAGGAAGGACACGGAATGGCGATCAGAGACGCGGGACAAGATCATAAGATGACAAGGAGAGAAACCTGGTGGCGGAGATGGATTGGGAGGGGGCCTCGGCGCGGATCGTTTTGGACTTGAGCTTCTTGGAGAGAGACTCCAACTGGTCGAGATTCCTCTACAAGGATTCCAAAGAAAAAGGAAATAAGACGACGGGCGAATTGATTAAAAGAGCAGACGGAGGAATGGGGGAGGACCTGGAGAGAGGGGAAGTGGGCGGAGGGCCCGGCGTGCTCCAGGAGCTTGGTGGAGGAGTGGAGGAGGTCAGTCCACCCGCTCATCTCCTGATCGTTCGCCATCTCCTCCCGCACCTCTCTTCGGGATGCAACTGTAGAACCCTAATTCCGAGTGTTTCGGTTCGAAAGATACAGAGGAAATAAAGAGCGGGCTGCGGGGAAAGAAGAGAGTGATAAAATGCCAAGGGGTTTAGGGCTTCAATTTAAAGGGATTTTTCCTTTATTCCACACGTCTCCCACGTCTTATATAAAATTTAAAAAAATCAAAAGAATATAATAATAAATTAACTATTAAATTAAAAATTACATATATATGATTTTTTTAATGTATTCTTTAAATTTAATTTTAAACTTAATTTTTACACCTTATGA